TGGTGTTAGTGTTTTAGTGGAGCAGTGGTGTGTGTAGTGTTAAGTGGTGCAGTGGTGTGTGTAGTGTTAGTGGTGCAGTGGTGTGTAGTGTTAGTGGTGGTACAGTGGTGTGTGTAGTGTTAGTGGTGCAGTGGTGTGTGTAGTGTTAGTGGTGGTACAGTGGTGTGTTTGTAGTGTTAGTGGTGGTATAGTGGTCTGTGTAGTGTTAGTGGTGGTACATTGGTAGGTGTTGTGATAGTGGTGGTATAGTGGTGGGTTAGTGTTGGTGGTGGTACAGTGGTGGGTGTAGTGTTAATGATGGTACAGTGGTGGGTCTAGTGTTAGTAGTGGTACCGTGTAGATTGTAGTGTTGAGTGGTGGTTTAGTGGTGGGTGTGTAGTAGTGAGTGGTGCAGTGTTGGGTGTAGTGTTAGTGTTGGTACAGTTTGTGTGTAGTGGAAGTGGTGGTGCATTGGTGTGTGTAGTGTTAGTGAGTTGGTACAGTGGTAGATTGTAGTATAAGTGGTGGTACAGTGGTGTGTGTAGTGTTGAGTGGTGGTACAGTGGTGGGTCTAGTGTTAATGGTGGTGCAGTGGTGGGTGTAGTGTTAGTGGTGGTACAGTGGTGGGTGTAGTATTAGTGGTGGTACAGTTGTGTGTGTGTATTGGTAGTAGTGGTGCAGTGGTGGGTGTAGTATTTGTGGTGGTACAGATGTGTGTGTAGTGGTAGTGGTGGTGCAGTGGTGTGTGTAGTGTTAGTGGTGGTACAGTGGTGGGTCTAGTGTTAATGGCGGTACAGTGTTGGGTGTAGTGTTAGTGGTGATACAGTGGTGGGTCTAGTGTTAATGGTGGTACAGTGGTGGGTCTAGTGTTAGTAGTGGTACAGTGGTGGGTGTAGTGTTAGTGGTGGTACAGTGGTGGGTGTAGTGTTAGTGGTGGTACAGTGGTGGGTCTACTGTTAGTGGTGGTATATTAGTGGAAGTGGTATTGGTGTTGGTATAATGGTGGGTGAAGTGTTAGTGGTGGTACAGTGGTGGGTCTACTTTTAGTGGTGGTATAGTAGTGGGTGTAGTGTTAGTGGTGGTACAGTGGTGGGTGTAGTGTTAGTGGTGGTACAGTGGTGGGTCTACTGTTAGTGGTGGTATAGTAGTGGGAGTAGTGTTATTGGTGGTACAGTGGTGGGTGTAGTGTTTGTGGTGGTATAGTGGTGGGTCTAGTGTTAGTGGTGTGGTATAGTGGTGGGTGTAGTGTTAGTAGTGGTGGTACAGTGGTGGGTCTAGAGTTAGTGGTGGCATATTGGTGGGTCTAGTGTTAGTGGTGGTATAGTGGTGGGTGTAGTGTTAGTGGTGGTACAGTGGTGGGTCTATTGTGGTGGTATAGTAGTGGGTGTAGTGTTGGTGGTGGTACAGTGGTGGGTGTAGTGTTGGTTGTGGTACAGTGGTGTGTGTAGTGTTTGTGGTGGTATAGTGGTGGGTCTAGTGTTAGTGGTGGTATAGTGGTGGGTGTAGTGTTAGTGGTGGTACAGTGGTGTGTGTAGTGTTAATGGTGTTACAGTGGTAGGTGTAGTGTTAGTGGTGGTACAGTGGTGGGTGTAGTGTTAGTGGTGGTATAGTGGTGGGTATAGTGTAGTGTTGTGGTACAATATGGTGGGTCTACTGTTAGTGGTGGTATAGTAGTGGGCGTAGTGTTAGTTGTTTTTACAGTGGTGGGTGTAGTGTTAGTGGTTGTACAGTGGTGTGTGTAGTGTTTGTGGTGGTATAGTGGTGGGTCTAGTGTTAGTGGTGGTATTGTGGTGGGTGTAGTGTTAGTGGTGGTACAGTGGTGTGTGTAGTGTTAATGGTGTTACAGTGGTAGGTGTAGTGTTAGTGGTGGTACAGTGGTGGGTGTAGTGTTAGTGGTGATACAGTGGTGGGTGTAGTGTTAGTGAATTGTTACAGTGGTAGGTGTAGTGTTAGTGGTGGAATAGTGGTGGGTGTAATGTTAGTGGTGGTACAGTGGTGGGTGTAGTGTTAGTGGTGGTACAGCGGTGGGTGTAGTGTTAGTGGTGGTACAGTGGTGGGTGTAGTGTTAGTGGTGGTATAGTGGTAGGTGTAGTGTTAGTGGCCGTACGGTGGTGGGTGTAGTGTTAGTGGTGGTACAGTGGTGGGTGTAGTGTTAGTGGTGGTACAGTGGTGGGTGTAGTGTTAATGGTGCTATAGTGATGGGTCTAGTGTTAGTGGTGGTATAGTGGTGGGTCTAGTGTTAGTGGTGGTATAGTGGTGGGTGTAGTGTTAATGGTGGTACAGTGGTGGGTGTAGTGTTAGTGGTGGTATATTGGTGGGTGTAGTGTTAGTGGTGGTACATTGGTGAGTGTAGTGTTAGTGGGGGTACAGTGATGGGTGTAGTGTTAATGGTGATATAATCTAATGTTAATGGTGGTTATAGTGGTGGGTATAATGTTAGTGGTGGTACAGTGGTAGATGTAGTGTCACTGTAAAATAAAGTGAGTTAAGTTGAAACATAACCACTATATGTCCCAAATATATAACTGATTATAATATTTCATGAACTCCTTTTACTCAACATTTCTTCACTAACCGTTTGTGATGCCAAACTGTTTGTATCAATTGTTGAACTGGTCTTTTATATCCGGTGCAGCTTCTGAATTATTTATTATGAGGACATATAGCCAGCCAGGTTAAGCACTGCAGCTCCATCCTCTCTCAGTGATACAGTTCTTCACCCTCTGCCGTGAACAAACACGTGTAATCACATTTCCTCATCAACATCAAACATAACCTCTCTTAACGCTTTTCTAATATTAGTGTTGCATGAATATCTGTACTGTACCTCGTCCAGCTTATCCTGTACACTAATTTCTCTCTGGTTTTAGTGTAGCTTGCTTGTGCGTTTGTGTTATGTTTGACTTTCTTGTTTGTTGTTTGACGGACGTACACTCTAGGAGGCGTGTCGGCTTCCACAGGCAGATGGACTCACACCACGATGAGTTAAATTATTTTATTTACTCATTTGCCTTTGGTAAATGACATCTCTTTTCATGATGAATGGCATTTATACCCACTCTAGATTGTTTTATTTTTCACTGACTTACAGTAAATTGTGGAGTGCGGCGGTCTCGTGGATACAACTTTCGCCTCTTGTTCCAGGAGTCGGTGGTCCGATCCCCTGGCACTCTCAATTCACCCAGCTGTAAATGGGTACCTAAGCTTGCAACTTGGGGAAATGAAAGCGATCGAGAGCAGTAACGGCCATGCTGCCCCCATGTGTACTGAAAGCTTAGTATACAGTGTGCTGAATTCACACTGGCCCAAACGGGCAGTCATGCCTACAGGGCCACTTTCACTTTTTCATAGTAAATTATCGTTCGCTGCACTTCGGTATTTTACCTTCACTAATAAACGTCGAAAACATATTTAGATGAAAACTTTAACTTTTCGGTTCAGCTGATGATTGATAAAACATCATACACTCTTCACACGGTATTTAAAGTTCAGTGTTTTCAGACGCTGCGTCAACACAATTATCTTGGCAAGAGTTAACACATTCCAAGAAGGAGAGGAATATGTGCCATATATTATACCAGAGGGAAGGAGAGTGTGCATCTGACATATCATTTTGCGTTTTAGACAAAAAATTAATATATAGAAAGAAGTAGCGGTAAGTCCAATGTGGAGCGCCATCGTGCCGTGCCATTATTAATATGCGTAGTATTTAGAATTTTAGACAGTTCAGTGGTGTGCTCACATCACCAGAGAAAACAATTGGAAATTTCATGTTTGCATTAAATGATGCAGCGGTCACACCGTGCTACCGATAATTATTGTGTTCAACTTTCATCTTCTTAACTCAAAAAGTTCCTGAGAAATTATTATCAAGATAAGCAAACAGGAGGAACAACCACTGAGTAACTTGTATCCTTGAGGCAAGCGGCACCTGGACACGGAATGGTTGAGTGGAAGGCGGTGTCCAGTTATTACTATATCGCAATTCTCCCTAATTTGAGTGACACACACACACACACACACACACAAACTGATGAGCAAAAAATAGGCTATAATTCTTTTATCCTGTAAATGAATTTGAAAACACTAAGTTTTGTTGTTAATCATGAAAAAATTAATATATTTACTCGCGAACAAACAATGAGGGCATTTAGGATTTTTTACACGTTATAGAGTTAAAGTAAAATTTTAATGATTGTTTTTGATATCGAGCACTAATCCTTTTGGTGAGTAATGATTAATTTTTATATTTATTTGTCATTGAATACCAATTTGTCATTTGATACTCTTCTGTCCCTGTTTGATGACATAATTATGTGAAAATATGCAGTTGTATCGCAGCTGTGAACGACTAGTGTTTTATTTGTAAGAGCTAATCCTCGTGCTAAGCAATGCAATTTTCATTTTATACTTTCATAATAGAAATTAAAATTGCAGGGTGTACACTGTACAGTATTCATGGGACAATTTTAAGGCACAATATCGATATCACAAAATGTCGGAATCCGAATAGTTTCCCAGCTACAGCACTTGAAAGAGGTTGTGGTATTGATAGTGAGAGGTTAGAGATAAACAGCAGTAAATTTTGTGTAATTTTATGGAGGCAGAGAGATGGAATTTTGAACATTTACTGTAATAACGCAACTGAGTCACATTATGTAGAGTCATGTGCATAAAATTACACATTTTTTGTTTACAGGAACTACTCAAAGAAGCATGTTGACATTTACTTTACACTTGTTCTGATACAATGAACCCAAAAAGGTGATATCTGAACGTAGGACATATTGCTATAAGAACTTAGGAACTGAAGAGAAAATGGACAATATATTGAGAGAAGACACCATGGAAATGCCCTGCTGGATCCCATGATAGAAACAGTTAGGAAGTATTAGTATTGATGATTGACAGGAAATGCTCATGATAGAAAATTTGTGGAACCAATTAGTAGAAGATTTCAACCAGCAGTATAGAGTGACAGAGGATCATGATGGGCCGCATGTACCAAGTTTCATACTCACAATTGTGTATACAGCGGCGGTGAGGGCGGCGTGACGGGCATCCAGTCTGAGCCACCCACGCCCGCTGATCCGCACCAACGGCGACACTCTATGCAAGTAAACAACAATAGCATTGGTGCAGTGTTTTCTTCCACTGTCAGGCTCACTGACCACACCATCTACCCACGCTCACTGACCACTTCATCCACCCAAACTCACTGACCACACCAAGCACCCACGTTCACTGACCACACCATCCACCCACGCCCACTTACCACACCAAGTACCCACGCTCACTAACCACACCATCCACCCACGCCCACTGACCACACCATACACCCACGCTCATTGACCACACCATACACGCACGCCCACTGACCACACCATTCACTCACGCTCACTGACCACACCATACACCCACGCCCACTGACCACACCATCCACCCACGCCCAGAGACTATATAACACATCCACGCCCATTGATTACAACACCGATTCACGTCTACTGATCCGCATTATACCATCCCAAGCCACTGACCCAACAGACCAGTAACGCCCACCATCAGCCCATTAACCCACGCCATCATTAACGCCCATCCCCGTAAAGGGCACGACAAAAATGTGCTTCCAAACCTTTTACGGAACTGTTTCGAGGACAACTGGTGTCCAATGTCATGAAAGGAGACTACCAGGAATTGATCTCCTCTTCGTTTTCCTCCCCATGGTGATCCTTTCCTCCCCCTGGCGATCCTTTCCTCCCCCTGGTGATCCTTTCCTCCCCTGGTAATACTTTACTGCCCCTGGTGATCCTTTCCTCCCCATGGTGATCCTTCCCTTCCTTTGGCAATCTTTTCCTCCCCATGGCGATCCTTCCTCCTCATGGTGATCCTTTCCTCCCCCTGGTGATCCTTTTCTCCCCATGGTGATCCTTTCCTCCCCCGCCAGTGATCTTTGCTTCCTTTGGCAATCCTCCCTCCCCACACACACCTCTGTTGTAGTCTTCCTCACTCTGGTGATCATTTCCTCTCCACTGTTATCCCCCCTGGTAATCTGTACCCATTCCTTTCCTCCCCTCTGGTGATCTTTTCCTTCCCCTGGTGTCTCTTGCTCACCTGTTGTTCTTTTCCTCCCTCTGGTGCACCCGCTTCCCTGGTGATCTTTTTCCTTCCCTGATTAATACATCACCTCTGATCTCTTTTCCTTCCTAGCGATCTCTTCCTTCCCCGGTCATCCTTTGTCCCCCTGGTGATCCTTTTTCTCCACTAGTGATCTTTTTTCACTTCCCTGGTGATCCTTTTCCTCCCTATTTCAGTCCTTTCCTTCCTCTGGTAATCTTTTTTCTTCCCTGTTATCTTTTCCTGTTGTCCTTTCCTCCCTCTGTTGTCCTTTCCTTCCTTGGCCAATCTTTTCCTTCCCTGTCATCCTTTACTCCCACCTGTTGATCTTTCCTCCCTCTGTTGATCCTTTGCTTCATGGGCAATTTTTCCTTCCCTGGTCATCTTCCTCCACCTGTTTCCAGTCTGTACCCTTCCTTGTGATCTTTCTTCCCTGGCGATCCTTTTCCTCCCTCTGCCAATCCTGCTGCTCACTCTCTGGTAATCCACTTTTCCTTCCTTGATCTTTTCCTTCCCTGGTCATCCTTTACTCCACCTGTTGATCCTTTCCTCCCTCTGTTGATCCTTTCCTTCCTTGGTGATTTTTTCCTTCCCTGGTCATCCTTTACTCCACCTGTTGATCCTTTCCTTCCTTGGTGATCTTTTCCTTCCCCTGGCGATCCTTTCCTCCCTCTGTTGATCCTGTCCTCCCTCTGGTGATCCTTTCCTTCCTTGGTGATCTTTTCCTTCCCACACACATCCTTTCCCACCTGTTGATCCTTTACCCTTGATCCTTTCCTTCCTTGGTGATCTTTCCTTCCTGGTCATCCTGTTGTCATCTGGTGTCTTTTCCTTCCCCTGGTCATCCTTCTCCCCCTGATCCTTTCCTTCCTTGGATCTTTTCCTTCCCCGTCATCCTTTACTCCCTGTTGATTCTTTCTCCCTCTTTTCCTTCCCCTGGTCATCCTTTCCTCCCTCTGTGATCCTTTCCTTCCTTGGTGATCTTTTCCCCCCAGTCATCCTTACTCCCCCTGTTGATTCTTTCCTCCCTCTGGTATCTTTTCCTTCCCCTGATCATCCTTCTCCCTGGTGATCCTTTTCTTCCTTGTGATCTTTTCCTTCCCCCGGTCATCCTTTACCCCCCTGTTGATTCTTTCCTTCCTCTGGTCTCTTTTTCCTTCCCCACATCCTTTACTCCCCTGTTGATTCTTTCCTTCCTCTGGTGATCTTTTCCTTCCCCGGTCATCCTTCCTCCCCTGAGGATCCTTTCCTTCCTCTGGTGATCTTTTCCTTCCCCTGGTCATCCTTTACTCCCCTGGTGATCCTTTCCTTCTTGGTGATCTTTTCCTTCCCTGGTCATCCTTTACTCCCCTGGTGATCCTTTCCTTCCTCTGGTGATTTTCCTTCCCCGGTCATCCTTTACTCCCCTGGTGATCCTTTCCTTCCCTGGTGATCTTTTCCTTCCCCAGGATCCTTCCTCCCCTGGATCCTTTCCTCCCCTGGTGATCCTTTCCTTCCCTGGTGATCTTTTCCTTCCCCTGGTCATCCTTTACTCCATCTGTTGATCCTTTCCTCCTCTGGTGATCCTTTCCTTCTCTGGTGATCTTTTCCAACCTCCTGGTGATCCCCCCCCTTGGTGACCCTTTCCTTCCCCCTGGTAATCATTTCCTCCCCAGGTGATCCTTTCCAACCTCCTAGTGATTCTATCCTTCCCCTGGTGACCCTTTCCTTCCCCTGGTGATCCTTTCCTTCCCTGGTGATCTTTTGCAACCTCTTAGTGATCCTTTCCTCTCCCTGGTGATCCTTTCCTCCTCCTGGTGACCCTTTCTTTCCCCCTGGTGACCCTTTCCTTCCCCTGGAGATCCTTTCCTGCCCCCTGGTGATCATTTCCTCCCCTGGTGATGCTTCCCTTCCCCTGGTGACTCTATTCTTCCCCCTGGTTATCCTTTCCTCCCATGGTGATCCTTTCCTCTCCCTAGTGACTCTTTCTTTCCCGCTGATGGCCCTTTCTTTCCCCCTGATGATCCTTTCCTCCCCATGGTGGTCCTTTCCAACCTGCTGGTGATCATTTCCTCCACCTGTGATCCTTTCCACCCCCGGTGACCCTTTCTTTCCCCTCTGGTGATCCTTTTCTCCCCTGATGATCTTGTATTAATTTTCCTTCCTTCTTCTACATTCTTTCATCACACAGATAATCTCTCACCGGGGCCCACAATATCGCCTCTTCCCCTGATTTATAAAAAACAAAATTTTTTGGTGTGTCAGGGGTAAGACAAATCTCTCGGGCCGTAATATGTTCTTCTGTGGATACTTTTGCAGTTTCTTCTAAATTCCCTCCGTAAATTGAATGTTCAATACCTCTCAGCTCCCCTTCTGTGACTGAACTCTTTCTCAGCTCAGTCTTTCAGTTTTCTCTCTCAGGTCCCTCACTCAGTTCACTGTTGAGAATTCCTCTCTCAGTTCCCTTCTCAACCAACCGACGAAGACCTTTATCTCAGCTCCCTCTCTCTTACCACGCGGACCTCTCTCCCAGTTCAGCCTCATACTCTGTTATGACGCTCACGTCCTCTCGCTTTCCTCCATCTCCTCGATCCCTCCATCTGTACTATGATGCTCTCGTCCTCCCGGCCCTTCACCTGTACTATCATGCAGGCGTCCTACGGCCCTTCCACCTGTACTATCATGATGGCGTCCTCCCAACTCTCCACCTGCACTATCATGCAGGCGTCCTACGGTCCCTCCACCTATACTATCATGCTGGCGTCCTCCGGCCCTTCCACCTGTACTATCATGATGGCGTCCTCCCACTTCTCCACCTGTACTATCATGCAGGCGTCCTCCGGCACTTCCACCTGTATTATCATGTTGGCGTCCTCCCGCCGCTCCATCTGTACTCTCATGCAGGCATCCTCCCGTCCTTCCATTTGTATTATCATGCAGGTGTCCTCCCGTCTTTCCATTTGTACTATCATGCTGGCGTCCTCCCGTCCTTCCACCTGTACTATCATGCTCGCCTGCTCCCGCTGCTCCACCTGTACTATCATGCTGGCGTCCTCCAGCCCCTCTACCTGTACTATAATGCAGGTGTCCTTCCGCCCCTCCACCTGTAGTATTATGCTTGCGTCCTCCCACCTATACTATCATGCTGGCGTCCTCACAATTCTCCATCTGTACTATCTTGCAGTCGTCCTACCTCCCATCTACCGGTACTATCATGCTGGCGACCTCTCGTCCCTCCACCTGTAGTATCATGCTGCCATCCTGCCGTCCCTCCACCACCACCACCATCATGCTGGCGTCCTCCCGACTTTCCACCTGTACTCTCATGCTGGCGTCCTCCGGTCCCTCCACCTTTACTATCATGCTTACGTCCTCTCGCCTGTACTATCATGCTAGCATTCTCCTGTCCCTCCACCTGTTCTATCATGCTGTCGTTCTCTCGTCCCTTCACCTGTTCTATCATGATGGCATCCTCCCCCTCCTCCACCTGCACTATAATACTAGCGTCCTCCCGTCCCTCCACCTGTCTGTCATGCAGGCGTCTTCCCTACATCCACCTCTACTATCATGCTGGCGTCCTCCCGCACCCTCCACCAGTACTTTCATGCACGCGTCCTCCCGTCCCTCTGCCACCACCATCATGCAGGCGTCCTTCCGCCTCTCCCCCTGTACTATCATGCTTACGTCCTCTCGCCTGTACTATCATGCTAGCGTTCTCCTGTCCCTCCACCTGTTCTATCATGCTGTCGTTCTCTCGTCCCTTCACCTGTTCTATCATGATGGCATCCTCCCGCTCCTCCACCTGCACTATAATACTAGCGTCCTCCCGTCCCTCCACCTGTCTGTCATGCAGGCGTCTTCCCTACATCCACCTCTACTATCATGCTGGCGTCCTCCCGCCCCTCCACCAGTACTTTCATGCACGCGTCCTCCCGTCCCTCTGCCACCACCATCATGCAGGCGTCCTTCCGCCTCTCCCTCTTATCATGCTGGCGTCCTCCCGCCCCTCCACCAGTACTTTCATGCACGCGCCCTCCCGTCCCTCTGCCATCACTATCATCCAGGCGTCCTTCCGCCTCTCAACCTGTACTATCATGCTGGCGTCCTCCTGCCTCTCCACTTGTACTATCATGCTGGTGTCCTCCTGCCTCTCCACCTGTTCTCTCATGCAGGTCTCCTCCTGCAACTCCACCTTTACTATCATGCAGGCGTCCTCCCGCCCCACAACCTGTACAAAAGGGCTGCCGTCCTTCCGTCCCCCCACCTGCACTATCATGCTGGCGTCTTCCCGTCCCTCTGCCACCATTATCATGCAGGCGTCCTCCCGCCTCTTTACCTGTACTATCATGCTAGCGTCTCCTACCCCTTAACCTGTACTATCATCCTCCCGTCCTTCCACCTGTGATATCATGCAGGCGTCCTCCCGTCCTCACCTGTACTATCATGCTGGCGTCCTCCCGCCCCTCAACCTGTAGAAGAGTGCTGGAGTCCTCCCGTCCTCCACCATGACCACAACCACCACCATCATGCTGGCGTCCTCCCGTCCCTCCACTACACCACCAACATGTAGGCGTCCTCCCGCCTCTCCACCTGTACTATCATGCAGGCGTCCTCCCGCCCCTTAACCTGTAGAAGAGTGCTGGAGTCCTCCCGTCTCTCCACCATGACCACAACCACCACCATCATGCTGGCGTCCTCCCGTCCCTCCACTACGGTACCACCATCATGTAGGCGTCCTCCCACCACTCCACCTGTACTATCATGCAAGCGTCCTCCCGTCATTCCACCTGTGCTATCATGCTGGCGTCCTCCCGTCCCTCAACCTCTACAAAAGTGCTGGCGTCCTTCCGTCCCTCCACCTGTACTCTCGTGTAGACGTTCTCCTGACCCTCCACTTCCACTATTATCCAGGCGTCCTGCCGCCCCTCCACCTCTACTATCATGTAGACCAGTGGTTCCCAAACTGGGGGCCATGGCCCCCCAGCAAAATTTAGGGGGCCATAAGCTGAGGCTATGTACACATAAAAATCCCAAGCCCCACCACACTACAACAGCCAGTCAGCAGCTGAGCCAGCAAGAGATATGGATTGGGAGAGGGGGGTCATGGATAAGGATCATATATGAAAAGTGGGTAATGATCAGAAAAAGTTTGGGAACCACTGATGTAGACGTTCTCCTGACCCTCCACTTCCACTATTATCCAGGCGTTCTCCCGCCCCTCCACCTGTACTATCATGTAAACGTTCTCCTGACCCTCCACTGCCACTATCATCCAGGAGTCCTCCCGCCCCTCCACCTTTACTATCATGCTGACTTCCTCCCGCCCCTCCACCTGTGCTATCATGTAGACGTTCTCCTGGCCCTCCACTTCCACTATCATCCACCCAGGCGTCCTTCCTCCCCTCCACCTTCACTATCAGGCTGACTTCCTCCCGCCCCTCCACCTGTACTATCATGTAGACTTTCTCCTGACCCTCCACCTCCACTATTATCCAGGCGTCCTCCCGCCCCTCCACCTGTACTAACATGTAGACTTTCTCCTGACCCTCCACCTCCACTATTATCCAGGCGTCCTCCCGCCCCTCCACCTGTACTATCATGTAGACGTTCTCCTGACCCTCCACTTCCACTATCATCTAGGCGTCCTTCTGCCCCTCCACCTTCACTATCATGCTGACTTCCTCCCGTCCCTCCACCTGTACTATCATGTAGACGTTCTCCTGACCTCCACTTCCACTATTATCCAGGCGTCGTCCCGCCCCTCCACCTGTACTATCATGTAGACGTTCTCCTGACCCTCCACTTCCACTATCATCCAGGCGTCCTCCCGCCCCTCCACCTTTACTATCATGCTGGCGTCCTTCTGCCCTTCCTCCTCCACTATCATGCAGGCTTCCTCACGCCCCTCCACCTCTACTATCATGCAGGCGCCCTCCCACCCCTCCACCCCTCCATCATGCTGCTGCCCCTCCATCCATCCCCTTCATTTACAAGGGATCAACTGTGAAGTTATCTGGGCATCCATTTCACCGTGTACCTATTTTCAAAATATAAGTTTTTATGCCGACTATTTATTCATCTTGTTTCTTCTGATCAGCAGACGTAATGATAAGAGAATCCTAAAGCTTTATTAAAAGATTGCTTCATAAAATAGCAAGTATTTTCATTAAAGATGTAACAAGAACCACAGCAGATACAACTCTAAAATAGTTTTTAATAATAGCATTTTTCATCTACATGTTATATTCTCACCTTCTGAAGCCCATGGCTGGTCAGCGGCGTCCTAGCATGGCACAAAGATAATGACGACGTCCACACCTCGCAGATGTCCTGACGTATAGAGTACCCCAGTTATGTCAGGGCTGCTGAAGTTCCTCCTCGTACACTCTCAATATTATCACGTTTACATTGTGCATCAGAGTTACTGAAATATGTCTGTCACCCACAGAATTATGACGCCATTACTATGCCACACTATGATTGATTCGGTCCACTGCTACTTGCTCCACTATGCTGTCAATGACAATGTCACTGTTGGTCACCAGGCATACTCATAAAGGTGGTACACTACACTAGTTTATGAAACACTCCACACAGAGTCTTTGTATCATGTTTTTTTCAGCAGGAGAGTGTAAGACTTCTTGTATTCTACACAACTCCGTTTCACTCTGAGGGAAAAAACAAAAACATTAGCGTGCAATCATCTTAAAATTTCCTAAACAATTTAATAACAGAGATATAATATCACGTTTCATTCAGGGGTCACCCAGCACCTCGCCCTCAAACCCTCATAAGTTGACTACCTTCACGTTTCATTCAGGGGTCACCCAGCACCTCGCCCTCAAACCCTCATAAGTTGACTACCTCCCTTGACTACTTCCCCTGTAAGTTGACTACCTCCCCTGTAAGTTGAGTACCTCCCCTATAAGTTGACTGCCTCCCATGTGAGTTGACTACCTCCCCTGTGAATTGACTACTTCCCCTGTGAGTGAGTTGAGTGCCTCTCGTGTTATGTTAGTTGAGTATCTCTCCTGACAGCTGAGGACCTCTCACCCCGCCGTCAGTCGGTAGCCTCGGCTAGTAGCTCCGTGTCCTCTATCAGTTAATTACCTGTCAAGTCACCTCTTGTCTGGGCACAGCGGACACTACCCTTTACAACGGAATTGTGACACAACAGTACGTAGAATCATCTATGTCTGTGTCACTGTAAGAACGATACAATGTAAATATTACCAACTAGGGGATGTAGCTGGCGTCATTATCATCATCATCGTTATCATCATCATCATCATCATCATCATCACCGGAGTCATATCATATATCATATCATATCATATCATATCATATCATATCATATCATAATCATTATAAAGTATATATCAACACATACAGTATGCCATAATAACAAAATGTGACTCCAATCCATATCAATTATATTAGTATGGCAACAGAACACATTACCACGCGAGGTTCACCAGCCTGGGTATTGTGAGAGATGGACGCCTAGAACAAGGTGGTGGGTGTGATTGACAGGAGAACAAGTATCGAATGGTTTAAGGGGTTGGACGTGTATACAAGTATGCTGAGTGAGAGCGAGTTGCACCACAGTAACAGGAGAGGGTGATGTGTAACCACAGAAGTTCCATAGTAGCACGAGAGGGTGACGCGTTACACATTGATGTATGACGAAGAGGATTTTTGAAAACGAGCGACCTGATTCACGACAACGGTCACGTGCTGAGTGGCAGCTGATAGGGAGTCACCGCACCAAGATCAATACCCGGCCTGGTGACCCTCGTGTGATGCTGCAGTATGTGGTGATAGTCAAAATATAATTACCCTACCTGGTGACCCTCGTGTGGGTTGATACCCGGGCAGGGTGAAACTATGGGCAAGTTTCTTTACGCCATTTGCCTCTGTCTACCCAGCAGTAATTGGGGACCTGGGGCCGCATTTTCAAAACACCTCATCAGTTACTTACAGTAGCAGAGATATTGTACCGTAACTTACAGACTCCTTACAATCCCGTAAATTTTGCATTCTCAAAATTTAATTACGGGTCCGTAAGCAGTCTGTAACTCTAGTGTTTACCCTGTAAATTCAGTTCTCTTAAACGAAGGTAGATGGATGGCAGTGCATGAGCTAGTTGGCCAATCGTCTCTCAGTTAACAAAATCATCAACCAATCACAAGAGAAGAAGAAATCAGCTGAGATCGACGCACTTGACAGTTACTAGACGTATTCTAAGCGTCATTATTGAAGATGGAATTATATTTAACTATGAGTCATGGATACTTCTTGGATACTTGGCAGAATAGCTTGTTATAACTTGGTCCTAGCAAAGGCTGAGTCTAGGCAAAAATGTTCACTTGACCTCATATTTGGCTTTCATTACTGACGAATATCTACGGCTATACCACATTAATAAGGTCTATCTGCAAGTTTACTCAGTTATAAAAAATATTTGTACTATAAATGTGGGCAATAAAAATCTTCTGTTTTGGTACAAATTACTTGAAAAGTTGTAAGAAGACAAAAGCTGCATCTCTTTCCTTCCGCGCCAAATAGAAACACTCTCAAGCCCTTCTTAACGTAAAAAATTAACTAACAAGACAAACTGCAATATCTCATTTTAGTATGTTCATGAACAAAACGTTTTCTTCATTATTTTATGATAAAACAAGTCTAACAAGCATTATCACAACATATATTATTTTATTTTTACACTGTCTGGAAATAGAGACTTATTATATCCGGGTTGAGCATGTTACAGCAGCTAGGAAGGTCCTGTAAGTTACAGCCTCAAATACGGACTCACTTGCCGAGTCCCCTGCCAAATATTTGTTCTGAAAATACTGATCCGGAGACTGTAACTCCAGTTACAGGGTAAACAAAGAGATACAGTTCCGTAAATGCTTTTGAAAATGCCGCCCCTGGATGCTAATCAACTTGTGGATCGTGTTCCTGGGTAATGGTTAGCCAGTGCAGTTGGCGAGTTGTCCTGTCTTCTCGGACTATTCCTTGACACTGGGTCATGCAGCTCGTTGCCTTAGGGTGAGGTTGTTGTGTTGGCCCTTGGGACAGCCATCCTCGTTACACGAGGGGCAACCAATATTATTATTATTATGTAACAGTGGTGTTTTCGAGACTACAAAGTCCGAGATCAAGACCTGCATTTCCGATATTGAAATCTTTTGAAGTTGAAAATAATATCGAAACCAATCTCAGTTTTAGCATTTATTCTATGGCTGTACAGTTAGGGTCAAAAGTTCGCTCCCTCCCAAACTGAAGCAGTATCGACCCCAAATGAGATAAAATAGTATACCCGTAACAGTCAGGGTAAGTCAGTTTGGAGACTCATCCCTGTGACTCAGTTTCACCACAGGGAGCGAGCTTTTGTCCCCGACTGTACATAAGCATTGTTTTTAGGGTTCTTTTCGGATTCAACAAGATTAATATTTTTAAGGGGATGATGGAGGATCAGTGTTATCTTAATTCAAAGAAATATTTACTAACTAATTTGGGCATGAGTGTACCAACTACCAAGTGATTTATATTATTTTATAATGTGATGATGTGAATATTGGTGATGAATATTACATTTACTTTATATTCATTTATTTGTGTCGTATCTATTACATCAGACTTGTTGATCAGATCCAGACAGTTTTTTTATTCAAGATATGATAAGATTTCATTATCCTTAACCCTTTGAGTCCTAAACGGTTAAGTCGTCTTTCTCAAATGGTTAAACCGTCGTATTCTCAAAGGGTTAAACCGTCGTATTCTCAAAGAGTTAAAACGTGGTATTCTCAAAGGGTTAAACCGCCGTATTCTTAAAGGGTTAAACCATTGTATTATCAAAGGGTTAAACCAGCGTCATCAAATGGTTAAGAAATATCAGCATATTCAGTAGGCACACGCAGTTAGAATTGTCAGTGCGAGATTGACCGGTGATGGAAACCTGTCCTTGTTCTACTGCAAGAACCTGTTACACAGGTCACTTTGTCAAAGAAAGCTAATTGCATCATAGGAAACGCTACTGAATATAAATTTTTCCCAAACCCAGGTAGTGGATTAATGGTTAGACTCTATTTCAGGGTCCGCAACCTTTATAAACTTGTCGGCCACTTTACCAGCAAGTAATTAGCATTCGGTTCCGGTTGCTGCATTAAATAATCATGCAACATATGCCAAAAGTAAATTTCTTCAAAGGAATGAAATGAGAAATAAGCTATTAGAAATACAAAATTATATTGAACACTCTTATATACACAAAACAAATTTAACTACCATAATATAAGACTTAAAAGGCACCATACAACTCGTTTTTCAATGCCAAGTAAGGGTTCGCATTCGAAATACATACTAGTGAGCAATCACAAACGCAGAATTAATGTATTCACTCGGATATACAGAAAAAATAATAGTTACTAGCCTAATGGGAGGCTATTTAAGAAAAGCCAACATAAAATTGTTAGGAACCTTGAATGGGAATTCTCATTTGAAATACGAATATGAAAATTACTGGGGCAAATGTGAGGCTTGAGCCTGGATATTATATGTAATTTCAGGATATTTTTGTTTAAATTTGGTTCCAACGTCCATTACAAGCTTATGGCATGAGCGTAAGTGTTCTTTGAACCGTACATGGTCTACACTGAACGTCTCTACTCGCAGCAACACTTGACCCAAACACTGAAAGCATGACGAAAGCTGCTCGATGTAACGTTAATTAATTTACCGTTGTCCATAAGCCCACACCAGATAATCCGTAGTTTTGTGAGTGCTTCTCAGGACATAATTGTTCTGCAAGTCAAGGCGCTCCATTTGTGCATCAACAAGATTTGCTTCGTCAACATAATTGTGGCTGACAGTTGCTGAGGTCGCCTGCTGCCAACAGAAATGGGTTTTATATGAATGAGAACAAAATCCTTTTACTTTGGAACTGCAAGCACTTCGCTTATTAGTTTGTATGTATCAGCTGCCGGGGAATTTTGTTCAGTCCTTCAAAGTGTCAAATTAAGTGTTGGCTGTATCAGGTGGTGTTCAAACAGTCTCATCTTAATGCCATCAACCGCGAGATTTGTGCCAAGCATAATATTTCAGGAACTAACTCATTTAGTCATTCACATCGCTAACACAAGATGTCACTCATCAAGTTGCTATGTCTGCAGAAAGTGGAAAAGTCCTTAAATTTTGTATAATCCCGCGTTCTTCATTTGCAACTGTTTCTACAATCATCAAAATGCATTCCATGATGAATGAACAGTTTGAATAAGGTTTCTTGATCGTCACCAAGAGGACCATCTCGCCTTATTCCTTTCTGAGATGTTGTGTAAGGATATCTCTGAATTTCTGACTTGTTTGCTTCTTTGTCGTTTGGTGATTTTTCGTTGTACGATGCAAGTTTGGTGAGGATATGTTCACTCAGATTGCTTCATTCGAACACTTCTTAAACTATTTTTACAAATAGACAAGTGCAGTTCTGATATGTTTCCTGAGCAAAAACCTCTTCTTTCCAAAGCTGATTGAATTTGCCGTTTTCATCTGTAATTTTTAGTTGTTCTGCTTTTCACCTCCTCTCTGCCAAACTTGCTTCAAATTTCACCAGCCGCCATATTATCTTGTGATGATAGTGCTGTTGTGGTGTGAACGGTAGCGTGAT